TTGTGAGGTCACTTACACAAAAGCCAAAGGATACCAGACAATGAAAATGGCTCTGATATTGGCTCTACTGATGCCCACTGTGCTGTCAGAAGCCAACAAAGCCAGGAAAGCACTGCATGGTGCACTGACATTTTATCACAAGAATTACAGCACATGCTTTTCTGTTTCTTTGACTGTTTTAAAATCCATGACATTTTTGTTTGATGGCTGAAGCTGACATTGAAGTCGTTAAAATTTGCAGCCTCACAAGCAAAATATGAGACAAATCGTCACAGCCCAGCTGCTGTGGCATCTTCTTTGGTAACAATTGAAATTTTCAAGCCATGGTTGATGATGGGAAGTCTAATCCTTACAAATGAGTTAGACAAGACAAAAGCATCACTCAAGCAGAGCGTCAACAGACTTTACAAGAAGCTGAATAGCAGGAGAAGAGGTTACAAATTACTTTCTATACAATATTTTAAAGGTCCCATATTCTATAAAGTGAGATTTCCATGATTTGATTATAAAACAGGTCTTGGCGCTATATTAATACTGTTAAAGTATCAAAGCGCTCAGTCCACAGAGAAATACACACAGACCATATTCAGATACTGAGCCTCAAAACGAGCCATCAGGACTTCTGTAACTTTGTGATGTCACAGCAAAGCAGTCACTGCCCTCAACCATGCCCAAAACCCAGCCCACCATCCAACCTTGCAGGATTTGGTCTCTCTGAGTGTTTTCTTGAAATCTGTTATATTTTCATTCAATCACTCAGAAAACAATCAGAAGAGAGGCTCAGAGACTCGCTTCTGATTGGCTCATTGACCAGTTATTACTAGAGCTCCTTAGAGAGGAGACGTATAACTACACTGATATGGTTTTTGGTTCTTAGAACCACAATTCATTTCTTCTTATAGATATCAATACTAAAAATAAGACACTGGAAAAGTGTAAAATATGGGACCTTTAAAATACATATATAGTAACAGTGTTGCTAATATTTTTTTTTATGTGTCAGAGTGGAAGCATTTCATGAAACTTTAGCGAAATAATCTTCTATTATGACCTTTGCAGTTATTCAGATGGCAAAACTTAAAAATAAAATTAGACACTAAAGCTTGTGTTGAAGTGAAAGTGTGGTACTCGAAAATCCCACATACTGTACGTCAAGTGAAGCTTTTTTTATGTCTTTCACCAAACACACTCCTACAGCACTTACTCACTGAGCTGTGCTGAGCTCCTGCCTAAGTACTATCCATTACTGTACAATGCCATAAGGAATGCAAACATATGCGCACCTCCTTACAAGATGCTTTTTCCTCAGGGTTGTCCCGCATGAGAGGGAGACTAGCATTAGGACACTAACATTAGAACAGAGCCACAGCATTTGTTTAGCTCAAGTTGTACATCAAATTTTAATCTACTTGCTTGAGTGGAGTAAGTTTGTTATTTATTTATCTATTTATTTATATTCATTATACTAATGCCAATATACGACTATATTTTGATCAATGGTGATGATGGCATTGTTTTTGTTTCAAGTGGCTTGTGTTTCATTCATGACTCATACAACAATGTGAAGATCCATCACTAAAGCACAAGTCTTTGTTCTGCTCATGTCTATTGTGTGAATATTTCCTGTTAAAACCCACAAACCACAATGGATTTATATGTGTGACAACATGACTAATATCCACACCCTTGTTAACAATTGCTGTGAAATTGATAATTCAGCTTGTGCCAATCTAGACAAAAATAGAATATCAAGAAAACCAACAAACTTAAATATCAGAACTTCTTGCTTGTGAAGCTGATTGGTGGGCAGTAGTCCTAAGCTTGTGCCATCTTTATGTGTGTGACAACCAGTTAAAAGATCCTGGTGTGTGAGCTTTCTGTAAGGGGAATAGTGCATTTTAAACATCAATTTAATTTGTCATGTAAAATATGGCACATCATGTACAAACAAATCAACAATGGGATCCTCGTGCCCACTCCACAGAAATCCCTGGGAATGTGCATCGTTTAATGAAAAAGGGACAATTTCCATCTTTAGAAAGTGAAAGCAATTACATTAGAAAGTATACTAATTTAGAAATAGCCCAGTTGTAGTTGTAAGCCTGCTTGCACAGCCTGCAGTTCCTCTTAAGCTGCACATGGCAGTTTATTGTGATGACAGCAATTAAATACCCTAGTGATTTCTGTGCAAGCAGTATTACGATTTATCCTACTGTGTGCTCTGCTCTCTAGAGCTGGATGGAAACAGGGTTTTATGAATCCAGTGTCAGTGCACCAGAGGAATGCGGCGCACATAAACTAGCCCATTCTCTAAGAAGCAGCTATGAAACAGAGGATAAACCACACAAGTGGTTAACGTGACACAGGAGGACCTCAGGGGGGCTAACATAATACACAATATTCTCCCAAGCTTAAAGCAGACAATGAATACAGACACTATCCTCACCACTAGATTTAATTCTCAAATGGGGAATATGTGTTTGTGACCACACACTACATAACAGGACTGACTAGGTTTCACACTGTATGGCACAGGGGACAACAAAGCATGGCCCAAATTAGAAGCAGTGTGCTACGTATGTCAGATTTGTGCCTCATCAGCATTCCCTCAATCTCTCCCTGCGGCTTTCCTTCTGCCACATCCAAGCTGGGTGTTCAGTTTAGTGTAGTAAAAACCTGTTAGTTTCAGATGAAGCTATATAGTGTATAATAAAAACACCAGTCAGTACCGAGTGTGTACTATCAGTCGAAAGATCCACAATTTAATTCTGTGTAGAACTACAAGGCAGACATAAAGGACAGTAATCAAGTAGTCATAGATTATATCATTTTAGCTTGTATCATCTCATGTATGGTAGTTTTGCTCATGTACATGTGACATGACCTGCATGTTGCTGCAGTGCAAGACTCTCATTTGTATGTAGAGAATACCTAAAGGCAAAATATATATCTATATATTTTTTACACGATAACAACTCGTATATTAGTCCAAGGATTTTACAACCATTCACAGTGTTGGAACCACAGTGGTAACGGTCGTGATTTTCTATTTCAAATACAATATTCAAAGTGGAGTGACATTTATTGTATTTATTCACATTTTTCTCTGTCAAGGAAACTGTATGTGTATTGACAATGGAAATGCCACTTACCTTGGGAGATAGAAAAATCAATCTCAGCATTTTCTAATGGGGAATGGTTTTGCGTGTGTGTGTGTGTGTGTGTCAGTGTCAGTGTTACTCATGTATATATCGCTACAGCTTAGACTTGTAGTAGCAGAACATCTGACATTGCAATCGCTGTGATTCCTGTTCACACAGTGTAAAACTTCACACTGCACATCCACAAGGCAGTTTGAAGACTTACCTGTTCAGGTGATGCATCACAAGTATATGATAAGAGATAGCATTGAATGTAACACAATATTTTAGTTTTGGTGTAAATAAATGGAAATGTACCAAAACTGCCTACAATAATTAGTGAAATCAGAACTAATAACATAGTAAATGTCAAAGCAACAACATGAACAAAATCAAGTAATAAGTTACTTAGGGATTCCAAGTGGAACACTTGAATGCCATAGTGTTAATCACTACTTTTTAAATTTGAAGCTACACAGTGTGATTACATCATTTTCCATTTAGTAAAGTAAACACAGTGGCATTCAAGCTGCCTCAATTCAGTAAGCTGATGATGACTTGCTAAATTTGGATTTACTTCAGTAACCAACTTGAAAGAATCAAAGTTTTACCTTGAATGCTCAGTAGGGACCTTAGAAGCCAAGCTTCCCCTCTCTGCCCTGAGGAGGAGAGTCAAATGGGAAAGATCAGAAGTCCACTTACCCCACAGGGAGAAGAGGTGAGGATCACAGCCAGGATGGGAGGCCCACAACACTATGATCAAGCCTCACCCGCAACCCCAAACCCATTACTTGAATAATAAAAAGAGCGTAGTTACCCCTGGGTGGTGGTGTACTGGAACTAGGACAGCAACTATTGTGTTCATATGCCCATATGAGTCTCATTTATGATTCCCATGCATCAAGCAGAAAAGAAACAGGTGGCACAGCTTAAACGGGTGAATGCAAAGCCAAAGCGGCACCTACCTTGAAAAGCTTTCATTAATAGTTGAGAAAGCAATTTTAAAAAATGCCAATGACTTTATATACTTCATTTCTCATGAGTATATAATGCCACAAACACTGCTGTCATAGTTTTATAATTAAAAGTGTAGTACCTTTACTTTTACCTATGAGATTTGATGAAATGTTCCATGAAGAAAGCAGATTCCAGACAAAAAGGGAGAACAAAAGGAGAGGAGACACCGATAAGTGTCATGGTCAAGTTGGAAAAGGACAGAGGAGAGGAGAGAGAGGCTTGATGGCTACATATATGTGTAAATACAAGAGAGGAAATGTGAGACAGCAAAGTGGACTAACAATGGACAGTGGAGAGAGAAGAACAATACTTCACATCCTTGCTCCGCTGCATGATAAAGATATGCAGCAGCCACAGAAATGGAAAGATGAAGATAGAATGGATGGACTGTCTGTGCAGACGCTCGCAACATGCATTACAGCAGTGAGGACAGATGAGGATTAGTTTAAAAATTCAGTAAGCCACCACCATGCGTTATGTCCTAATAATGTTGATGCAAATGTCCCTTTACTTGAACTGCGTCATCATAAAACATCAGCATGTACAGTAGATGTGAATAATTAAAACAAAACAAAGAGAAGATGGAGGGAAATGACACGGCTACCCAGCAGAGTGGTGAGTTGAAAGCCAAATGAGCTCGGAAAAAGGGGTCATCCAAAAAAAAAAGAAGTCACTGGGAGAATGAACATCAACTAGGTCATTCAAAATAAGTGAAATGACAGCCCATATATGAAGCTTCAAGCCTGAGCATTGCACAAGAGTTAGAAGCACACACATTTCCAAGCACAATGGGAGCAGGAGGGACAATGGAGGGATGACAGGATAAAGGAACAGAGCTCATACCTTGGTCGCCCATCATCAGGTGTGCCAGACCTTAAAGGAAAACAAGAGCACAGTCAGCAGAGAACAAGGGATCATGGGAAGCTGTGTGACACTGACACGCAGGCATCTCTTTCAGAGCAGATGTCTGTGTTACTTGAGGAGCGTTGGGATAAGGGAAGAGTGGGACGGAGAGAAACAGAATAGGATGCACAGACAGGGTTAGCATGATGAGCATTCGGTCAACCAAAGCAGGTTGCAATGCATCATCAGCCACTTACTAGACATCACTCAGAAATCTAAATTCAGGTTGACCTGTTTTTTCTCTAAGACGAGAAGTATGCAGACTGTCATCCTACATACCACTGACAGAGCAATCCCTATAGGCAAATATAGCTGAAGACTGCTTTACCTTGACCTTCAACAACAACAGTCAAGTGTCCACGTAACATTTGAGTCATACAGAGAAAAAAAAGGATGATTGGACATGGTCTGGCCATTCTGAGTAGTAAATTACTTAAATCAGCAGTACAACTGCAGCCTGTTATGTTAGTTTTATTGACACAGTTAACCAGTATTACCCATGAACACTAGGCTGTAGCCACAGCACTGAATGCTATGTTTGGCTAGTGGCTCAATTTCCTCTCAGTAGTTCTTCTGGCAGTCAGGTAACATATTTCTAATGTTGCGATTAAACATTTTAACCCTTTGAACAACACCTGAAATCTGAAAACGCCAGTACCTGTTTGCTGCCATTGAATCTGCCTGCTAGCTAGCTGCCTGGCTAGCAAAAACTAGTTGTTATAGGAAGGGGCTCTACGCTAACCGCAAACTAGCTAATTCCAGTGCTTTCGGTTAGCAAGCTTTTATTTCTGTCATTAGCCTGTTTACAAATATGGGTAATTTCAATCACAAATTAGCAACAATTCACTGTGTCTCCATGGAAACCGCAACCTCATGTTTTATGACAGTATACTTACCAACAAGAGATTTCTCATATTCGGCCAAATAAAAACTGCCCTTAAAACTAATTTAGAAAACTAGCTTATCACACAGCATTAGCTTATGATAGCAATTCCAAGGAAGAAACAGTAGGCTAAGGTAAGCAGAAAGTTAAGCACAAGACTCTACATTTAGTATATTTAAATTAGACTCATTCAAATAATCACATCTTTACATTTAAATTATTCTATTGATACTGATTTAAAGAATAGCCTATATTATTTTGTTTTGTGGTATGATTAACACAAGTCTCTATACCTTAATTACAGTATTTCTTGGCTAAACCTTTCTAGATGATTTTTACTTTTTTTAACTTTCTTTTTGATTGATTTGAATTCAGCCTCTCAGTTAACCCAGAATTAATAGCTCATCCTTGTATGAGTGTTGCCGTCAGGGTCCAACGCCCTCCTGTTCTTTGTTAGTGAGGCAATCAAACTGAGCACTAAAGTTACACCTGAGATAAAAGCATTTACAGTTGGTAGCTTAGAAAAGCAGCCTTATTCCAATGCTACTGGAAAACACCTATAATTTAACAGTGGGTCTACTTTTTTTTTTTTTTTTTAAATCACATACACAAAAAATATACAGTAAGCTCTGCAATTTCACACATTATATGACACAAACAGTATGTGCCCAATCATCTTTTTTTTTTTTTTTACACGTCAATAGAATATTTTATTCACTTTCAATAACAGCAAAACCTTCAAGTAATTAAGTAGTAATTTTAAAAAGAAAGATTTTCATTATCATTTAAGTTTTGGAAAATTTATGAAATGCCCAATAAAAAAAAAAACAGAGCAACAATGATAACCAGATTAATTGGACTTACCACACCAGTAATATCAATACCATAGCCAGTATAAAACATTGGCTTACATTTATTTGAGGCGCCTCAGTGAAAATGACAATGTGTAGCACACAAATTTTTAGCAAGAATGGAAACCAACAATTACAGTAATATACCCACCTTCAGCATAGTTGTCTTCTGGAGGCACGGACAAGCAAAGAAAAAGAGAGGAAGACATTCATTAAGCAGCATGCAGACTAGTACTGGCCATTGCATGTCGTAACCATGCAAGGCATTAAACGTCACATGCAAGTGACCTATTGTAACCCCTGCAGAGGAAAGGCCGATTTATGCATAGGCTTCTATTTTGTTGTCCTCCATTTTGCTTATACACTGACCTGGAATACAGGACAGAGCTGAAACTGAATAGGCCCTTCTGATTATTTCATATAACCTTGAAGAATTAATTTGTTTCAAACAAGTCTTTTGTTAAAGAAAAAAAACTGGCATCACAGTTTAATGATTTATGAACCAGTATTGATCATGAGGGATAAGATGGTGTTGAGATAAAAAAAGCAGAGCTTGACGCTGGAGGCTGGTTCATCCTGTTGTGTTAGGCTCTTTAAATCTTTTATTTATCTGCCGTTTTTTCTAAACATGATGGATTGTAACTGTGGTATCAACAATTATTTAATTCAGCAGACTCAGAATCTGTGTACTTTTTTCTGTTTGTTTCTTAAATGAAAAGCTGCTCTATACCACACATGATGAAATGCACTGCGAGAGAAAATAACCTAAATAAATAGAGTTGGCTGTGGTAAAGCACAATGCCTCTAAGGTTTCAAAACGGGCAGTGGGGTCTTGTGTTACTGGAACTCTATTCAGGTGATTTGGTCACATTACTGAAAGCAATGACCAGTGAGCACATATCGGAAATGCAAAAGGAGATTGGCTCCCAAATGAAACTGCTGTAACATTAACTTCGGCAATCAAAGTGAGGTTTGTGGAGGTGAGGAAACTGCCATGTAAAATCCGTCACACTAATAAATGAGACCAAGAGAAGAATTACATGTTGGTAACGTAACTGCAAACAGGTGAGGTAACCATCATGCTACCAGTGGGGAAATTAATTGGTTTGACAAAATGATGTGACTGGAAACATGCAAAACCAATGGAATGAGAGTGTGTTAGGGCCCATAGACTGCCTATAAAAAGAACAAAAAAAATGGTCAGTCAACAGTTCTTTCCATCATTAAGTGCTTATGATTTGTCTGGAGACTGATTCAGGATTAAATATTCAAATATTTTAAATCATAAAAGCAGAAATACACAAAATGGTATAAAAAGAAAAATAGAATTTGATGATATTTCACAATTTTTTCAATAAAACAATCATGAACTGAAATTATGCATGCAATGTCTAATCAATACTTGTACAACAAAAAGAATGGTCCTGTCAATCCAGTTACTGTAACCATGCAGCCAGATAGGCACAAAAGGCCAATTTCCACTGCAAAATAAACTCCTACCTCTTCAAAATGGTTTCTTGCCCAGATTCAAGCGATTTTTTGACTCAAAACTTACCATGGCCACAGGCTCCCCTTCCAAATCAGACACCATGCACAAACACCGATCCAAATCATCATTTTGTGAACAAATTACAGGACAGTTAATCACATCACAAGATCATTTTGTTTGTGTAAAAATTCATTTTACATGTAAGTTGTTACATAATGTGAATATTGCCTGAGTAAAATAGAAATCATTTTAATTTATTGTGCAGCTTTATGTGTCAAGTGAGTCCAAGTGACTAATTTTTAATACTTTGGACATCAAGATAAAAGAGTCTATTGTGAAGGGAACTAAAAAGTGCACTTTGTTCACAAAACGTTAGCTTGATGATGAGAAGCACGCTGCTGAAAAAGCATTCTGACAAGGCAGGCATGAAGCTGGCAGTTGCAAAGTGACCACATGAGAAGAGAAAAGTAAAAGAATCAAGACCATTTGCTGACATCAAGACCCCAAAGGCTGACGTTGACCTGTACATTTTGCCACAATAACTAAGAATTTCTCCCGCTGCATTTCACTTCAGAAAGTGGCCTTTTTTAAGAGCACTATTTTGATAGTTTGTTTTAGATTGTGTATGAGGTTACTGTGCAATTGACACTGTATTTTAGTGATTCCCTTCCTGTAATTATTGGTGATCAAAATCAAATTAAAATGAGGTTTAGAGGTACAATGATTAATTTATCCTATTACTTAAATATAGCTTAAGAGGCATGCAGCAGACGGTATCATTATATTACAATTTAAACCCCAACAGGCAAGATATAGACATAATTATGAACAGCAAGTTTATAACTGTGATACATAAAAAACCACAGTAAAGGTGTTCAGAGAATTTCATTGGATGGAGGATTACATTTCAACCATTTAAGCAAATTTGTGTCTAGTAGTGTAATGTAATTCTTTTGAATCAAACTTCAGAAGTGTTTATTGGCCACAATAGACGCGGTTTCATTTGGTAGTGTTCTGAAGAAAAGAAGCTTTCCTCTAACAGCAGTATCACCTGACAGGGACCATTAAAACAAGCTCCCTATCATACACACACACACACACATAGACACACACACAGACACACACACACACTTTCTTTCACAAATGTACCCAGCTGGTTACATCCTAATCCAGAGACGTAAATCCATTTAATCCCCTTGACAAAGTGATCCCAGTGCTATTGTGCTGGTAACACTACACCAAAATGCACTCAACTGTCTATCAGACGATCTGCATCTCTGATGGTCTTGTGCTGTTGGTCATGCACACGGTGTATGGCTCATGGAAAATAATTACATTACTATCCAGGTTGATGCCTCACTGAACGAAACATCTGGTGTGCGACAAAAAAAGAAAGAAAGAAAAAGAAAACTCAAGGATGGTAAATAATTATATGAATCAGTTCTCTCTTCTGTTGGATTTGCCCCCTGCAGATATGATTCTAACACCCCAATATAACCTTGACCCTCTGACTGTTAGCTCATGACTGTGGCAACTGATCCAAAGTGACAGTCAGTGGAAAGTCAAATGAGCCACTCTCATCCCACCATTATACACTGCACTGGCTACCATCAGCCAGCTCCACCAAATGCCATTAAGACTGAATGCAGTTGGCTGAGGAGACATGGCAAGAGCAGGGAGGGTTGTGGATGATACATTTCACATAAAGGAACATGTGTCACATTCACTAGACAGAACATCCAGCAAT